ATTAACAATTTCTCCTTCATAGGCTTCTCATAACAATAAAATGAGACAATGCACATGTACAGTGTCTGGACACAGCATTCTTTAATAAGGGCTAAGTGTTGCCTATTTAGACACTAAAGCTTTTTGAAAGTTATTCAACACAGTAAGTTAAACATTAAATAAACATAGTTTATCTAAAATTATGGTATTGGTTAAAATGGAAAACTATTTAAAAATACAATTTGAAATAAAAAAATATTAGTCATCGGGGAGCTTCCACAGTTACTAGGCAGTTATGAGTTACCTGCCCAAGGGAAGGAATTGAAAAACTGATCCTAGGAAATAATGGAGCATTTTTGAAAGGAGTGTTACTATGTTCAGATTTATAAAAGGTGGGAGAAAAATCAAAATTGCAAATGCAGTTAAAGGAAGATTAATTATTTTATATTTATCTCAGAGCAAAGGACCAAACTGGGGAACGTGTGTTAACCACGGTAATCACCTTGCAATCTAATCAGGAAAGGATTTGGGGTATTGTAAAATCAGTGCAGTCTTCCTCTTGGGGCCCAAGGCAGTGCTGGATTAGGTTTCAAAGGGACAGATGTATAACAAGAAGCACTGTTATTACTGCAAAGCCATGGTTAGAGTCTAGAAGGAATACTTTTACTATATTGATCACCTCTGGACAAAAAAGATATTACTGCCCCAAAGAGGGGGCACGATGTCACAGCAAAGCACCAATTCCACTCGATCTCAAGAAAGTAAATTTATAGGATGAAAGGGTGAAAACAAACAGCTAAGTCACACTTGGGAAAAATATTTAAATAATTAAATATCAAGATAAATCATAATGTGTTAAATGTAAAAAAGGAAGACACATTAGTGAGCAAGGAATTTAAAAACATGGCCCTTCTCTGCTAAGAGTATTCAAATAAAAAAGGAAGATGAAAGGGAACCCAATTTCTAGTTAAAAAATAATTATAGGCCAAGAGGACAATTCTTTTTCAAAGAATACTAAAGATTCACATAAAAAGAATCCCCCAAGACAGAGAAAAAAAGAATAGCATAGTTTCTCAAGTAGGCTTGAGAGGTAAGGAGTTTTATATCTTTTCACCTTCCAAATACATATGCTACAGTTAGATTTTAAATAGATTTAAAAATGAGACAAATATAAAACACAAATTGACAACTTAGGAACAACTTTCAGATTTACAGTTAAAATAAACTATACTTTTCATACATTTTTAGAGATATAGGTCTAGGTTAAATTTGGAACTTCTACCTAAAATCATCTCATTAGCCTTAAAGATCTATCAATTCCATTATTTTTTCAAACATACAAGAAAATGATACTGAAAATTAACTGATCAGTAAATCCTCAATTTTTGTTACAATTCATTTTTATTTATCTTGAGTGGACAGACCTCCTTAAGAAAATTACTGTAAGTGTCTTTGAAGAAATATATTTTTTTAAAAAAATTGAGCCTGAGTTAGGACTGTTAAGAACAAATGTTACGAAACATCTATCCCATTAATTTCTCACAACATGTGAACGTTGAAATAAAATACAGAATTTTCTGACATTTGCAAGATATTCATGCACCTTTGTAAAGAAATATAATTTAGTAGCCTATTAAGAAATGGGTTTTCTGCAGTTCAATGCTCTACCACTGAGCTATACCCCTAGACTTCGGGTTTTCTATTCCTATGTAGTCCGGTTTTCTTCTATTGCAGGAATGGTTCTCAAAATATGGCACCCTGCCTGGAGAACAGAGTCTCATTGATGACTGCAAAGTGATCCAAAATGTCTGTAGGGCCTTGTTTTACAATATGACATCTTTTAAAAAAATATTTCTATAGGTTTTTGGGAGACAGGTGGTATTTGGTTTCATGAGTAAGTTCTTTAGTGGTGATTTGTGAGATTTTGGTGCACCCATCACCTGAGTAGTATACATCTTATGTATGAACTCATTTCCATTTCTCATATAGTAAAACTAAGGGAACTATGAAGTCTCCACATTTGTTGATGTTCCTTGTTATCACCAAGTTCTTTATTCAGTGGGAAAGTTTAAATTTGTGAATGCAGTTAAAAGGAGTTTGTCTAGCTAAGGTCTTCAATATTTAGGGACCAATGTACCACACACACTTCATAAACACAAAAGTAGAGAAAAACCTTAAATTAATCCCTTTCTGTTATGTTCCTCCTTGATATTTGGGCTCTTTCCCTGATGAACTAACCTTCCAGTGTTGCTGCTATCCTGACCACTCTCCTAATGCCCCGAACTTAGGGCTATAGTTCTCTGAGCTGGTTTACTCCATTACTACCAGGAGTGAGCCAGAATGTTTCCAGGAAAATGGTGCTTGGAGGCTTTGAGGACCAGAGAATCCCCTATGTCAGATAACACTGTTAAGGCATGTTCAATGCCAAATTATACGATAGAAACACATTTGCAATCAGAAAATCTAGACAGAAGCTGTTTTTTCTCTATGTATTTAAATATCGTGTTTTAAAATTTAATGTTGTTTCCATATTGAAGTGCATTTACAAAGGAGGCACTGCAATTGTTTTGTGCTTGGGGCTCCAGAGGCCTTAATCCTGCCTTGGCTAAGGACACAAAGGGCAGGATTCTTAGTCAGTTATGTCACAGGTGAAAAATTGGGAGTTGTCTGCATGGATTTTATGCTTCTTTCAGCTGTTCGGAAATGCAACCCTCAAATTATTCTCTGCCGTAAGTCTTAGCTATAGGTGATTAAAAATAGACAGGGAGGAGGAAAGGATATAGTTGCAGTTTGCAGGACATAAAAAAATGCACATGCTGCTAAATTGTGCAAGCCACGGAGAACACTTCTCACAGGTGTTCCACTCCGCAGAGGTTACTCATTTGCCTCCAAGTGCAATCCAAGGTGTTGACTGGAGACTTTAAGGGGCCCTCACTCCTTTCTCTGCATCTTAGATTCCTGGAGATACCAATACTTACCTGAGCTCAGAGGCAACCTCGACAATCACGCTGTCCCAACTCTGAAGTGCATGGCACTGGCAGCTGGGTGTTTTTCTCATGGAAGATTTTTGCCTCTGGAATTTCCTGCTTGTCCCAGTCTGCCAGAGCTCCATCTTACTGACCTTCAGGGACTCGTGAAAGACTTGTTTTCAACATAACCTTTATTGATGAGACGAGACCTTAAGATCATAATTTTGGGAAAGATAATTTAAGCAATTATCATAGCTCATGTTCTTTTGGGTTAAAATGATTGAATTGTGGTGCTGTCCTTCTGTAGCAACTTCAAATAAGTTACAGTTTTAAGAATAAACACACCAGTAAGCGTCTGTCCTTAGTATTGAGACTGCCGACCTGGATGTGAAGATATTGGGATTCTAAAAATAGAAAAAACTGTAAGTCAGATTTATGCCCTTTCTCACGCTGGTACCTCAGATATGCTGGTGCTTGCAATAACCCTACATTCCAAGGTGGGTTATAAACACAGCCTGCTCGTTTAGAAAGCTCTAGGATGGTGTGGTTGTTTGTCGCATCTCAAGCTCACCCTGGGAGAACAACATTGGCTTTGGCTGAACGTTAAGATATTTATTCTAGACGATTATGCCAATACATTAACAGCTGCAGGATTAATTATTTACGTAGTGAGTGTCAATCATCTGAGACAAGAACCAAAGAAAAATATTTTCAGATCATCTGGTTAAAAAAAAAAATCTCTGCTATATAACACAGCTGTCTTGTCATTTAGGACTCTCGAACTTCTCCCCAAAGAAGTAATCTCAGAAAACTGCTCTTTTAAAATTATTTTCCCTTTCTTAAGTGTTCTAAGTGCTTTCCCTTTCAGAACCAAGCACATTGGCCATGTTTGCACTAATTTTCAGAAGATGCCCTCTACATCAGGGTAACCGATGACAGGTTTTAGTTTTGAAAACTTAAACACGGAAAAGAAATCCGGAGGAAAATGAGCCCCCCGCCCACAACACTTTCAGATCCGCGGCGAGGCTGCGTTGCCTTCTGCGCTCCGGGCCTTCCCAGCTCCGCCAAATATGCCGAGGTTGCTAGCTGTGGTCTGCGAGCCCAGGGGTGGTCAAAGAGAAAAAACAAATAGTTGGTCTGACGATCTCCAAGAAGAGAGTTTCACTCTGGGTTGACTAATATTGGACGCATCCGCCCCATCGCGGGGCTTGGCATCTCGGCTTTGGGACTTCGACCATTGCCAAAGATCTCTTCGGGGACGCGAGCCCCCGGGCTGAGGACCGCGGGAGACCCCTGGTCGGGACGGAGCCTCCTCTGGTTCGCTGTGCGCGCACGCCTGGAAAGGCGGGATTTAAGGCAGCGATGCTGCGGGAGGCTCTGCAGTGTCAACGAGCCCCCGAACGGTCCCGCCTCATTCCCTCTCTTGTGTGTGCCTCTCAAGTCTCTGCTTGGTAAACCGTCACAGCTTCGGCGCGCGAGAGTGGCGTTGGCAAGTCCAAACCCCGGGGTCCTCGGCCAGGCCAGGGGGGCGGGCGCGCGGCGGGGCCGGGCCGGGCGCGCCCAGCGGGCTCCGGGCACACGCCCCTCACCTGGGCGAGGCCCGGCGCGCAGGCGCTCAGTGCGGGGGCAGCGGCCGGGCGCTGAAGCCCCGCGCGGGCAAGAGTTGGACAGTTCAGGGGCCGTGCCGGGCCGAGCTGTCGCCGGCGCCACCTCCACGGCCGCCACCGCCACCTCCTGGGCTGCAGCAGATCGCGAGAGAACGTCTGCGCGAAGCCCCGCTGCAGCCCTGGCGGGACCGCAGCAACCACCCGAGCTTGAGCAACAGCTTCCCGGCTGGAGGAGCCACTGCCCCACGCGCCCGCGGCCCGCGCGCCGAGGTAAGCTGCGGGCGCCCAGCCCAGCCCGGCGCCCCCGGAATGGGCGCCCTCTGCTTGCCTGGCCCCCGCCCGCCTCCGCTTAGCGAGCCTGCACCTGGGCGCGCCGCCCCAGGGAATGGCCGGGAGCACCCCCTCCCAGTAGAGTTTGCACTTGCGGTCCCACTTGTAGAGGAGGGCGCCCAGGCGCCTCTGGCTTCCACGACCTAATCCTAACTCCTGCGAGTCCCTGGAGTTAGGATTAGGTCGTGGAAGCCACAGGAGCAGACTCCTCAGTTCCCCAGGGTAGGCTCCAATTTCCAAGGACGGATGGAGAGGAGAGAGGACGAGGAGAGTGCCCCGCTGTGGTTAGCCGCAGCGCCTCGTCACCTGGGCTGGAAGTTTGGGGTTTGTCTTTCTCTCAATGACCGGCAAATGGGTAGTTAGGGGACCGAGGTGTGGGAGGAGGGTAGCGGTCGAAGCTTGGGGTCGTGGGAGAGTTCAGAATGTCCCCAAAGTTTGCACTTGTTGGAAGCCCTGAGGGGCGGCCTCGGACACTAAGCGCTGGTGAAGGTGTCAAGGAAGGGTGGGAGGACACTGTGGGACTGCGGAAGGGACGAGGAGAAGGGGAGGGGGAGGACCATCTGTTTCGCCACTGTTATGTGCGGGGGCCCGTGGGGAGAAGGGAGAACTGGCAGGACGATGCTTCCCTAGACTCTGGAGGACAAACAGTTTTTATGGTGAACCTGGATAGGGAGTGCTGTTCTTCAGGGGAAATAAATTGCCAAGAAGTATCCCCCCTCTCCCCACACCCATGAATACAAAATAAACGCAGTTTTGGAATGCGCTCAAAAGTTCTTGGGTTGGGAAACGTCTTCTTTCATTTTCATACAGAGATGAGGTTTGCATTTCCTTTTGGTTTTGCTTTGCTGAGGAATATCACACCAAGGGGAATGCAAACTTTGTCAAGATGTAGTAGCAAAAGATGTGCCTATAGAAGGAACAAAACATTTGTGTTATAGGGCCCAGCATAAAGCGTGGAAACTGGCAGCTTCCACACAAATCATGAAACGGTAGGAAATGCATTTATCTAATTAACAAGAAGGCTTTTCATAAAGTCAATAAGCTACATCTTAGATAAGTTAAAGGCTTTGGCTTGAAAGAACTCCCTTAAATGTTCCAGGGCCAAATTTCATCGGTTTTCAGAGTCCTTTAATCTTATTTTGATGCCATATGTGCATTGAGTATGTGATGCCCCTTGCCTGTAACAGATAAATGCCTTTAGAATGCAAAATACAGCATTGCAAGTTCTGTTGCTTGAGGTTTTTAAGATGGAAAAAAATGCTTACTTGATCAAAGTGTTGGTTGTTTTTCAGATTCTATATTCACATAAATTAAATATTTGTGGATTTATAATTTACACTCTTACCTATTTCCAAAAGTGATTTGAGGAAGCTTGGGATAAAAACCACAAACCAAATAGCTGTTCTTGTAGATCTCCTTGACCTCTCTTGGATGCATTAGTAGCAAAATGCTTTGGGGAAGGTGAATTCTCCTAACAAAGGAAAAATTACTGTCCATGTTGGAATCATCTTGGTGATATTAATGTTTTGCAGCCTAATTATGTACTTTGTTTGCAGTATATTATTTTACATTACATAAGTAATGATCTCTTTATAGAAGTTTAATAACCACTAAGTATTATCTGTATTGAAAAAAAAGTTGATATTTTACAGTATTTTAACAATATACAGATTCACAGAGCAAAAAGAAAAAACAATGAATTTAATGTATTTTTCTTCAACTGAGGTACAAAGACAACCAAATGGAGGTGTCTCCTCTACAGTCAAATCAGAGAGGGAACTGTCATTAGTACTTGTCACCCAAATATGGCCAATTAGTGAGACCTGTCAGCAGCTGGAGGAAAACTCTAAAAAGTGTAACTATTAAATGAGGATCGATCAAAGCACATCAGGTGCCCTCAGCATTCTTTTTCTCAGGCAAGTGACCTGATTCAGAGAAAAAGAAAAAAAAATCTTTCAAAACAATTCTGAAAGGTGAAATGCCTATATAGACTGATGCTATGTGGAGTTGGGCACCATGAAAAAGACAAGGATCTTAAGTCCTTGGACTGGCCACCCCGCCTCCGCTGCCCTTAGACTTTTTTTATTTCCCCAGCTGAATTTGAAGATATCATTGCTTGATTTTTAACAGCAACAATTTATATTTAAAAAATTGAGCAATTAACTTCTTACAGGAGTGAGTCTTTGTTCACATAAATAAAGAGCAAAATTTGCTCTGCTGTTCCCATAATATCCTATATGTCTTCAAAGATCTAAAGAACAGGGAGTGTGTGTCTGTCCTAGTTTCCCACCGCTCTTTATGTGCCTCTGGTTTTTATTATAACCGCTCCATGCCATTTCATTATCTCTGTTTTTCCACCCCCCCCCACCCCACCCAATTCCTGTCTCTGTCCCCACTGTGTCTCAGTATGGTCTTTTTACCTTTTCTTTTTCTTTCTTTCTGTTTTTTAAAAAAATTGGGGGGATTTCTCTTGATCTCTGTGGCATAGATTATAGGTTATCTCCTTTTTGCTCTTTTGTATGTTATTTTGTATTCAGTTGTTTCTTTTTATTAGTGCTAGATTATTTCTTCCTGAAGTGACATCCTAGCTCTACTCTCCCTCCAAAATTTTATATTTACATTTTGAACCACCTGAGAGATAGCTTTATATCGCTCTCAGGTGCCTCAACTCTACCAGGTCTAAGTTCTAATTAACATCTTTCTCCTAAGTGAACAAGGGTGACTTTGTGTCCATTTTAATATTTCTCCTAGTCATTGATGACCCTCCCAGTATCTTTGCTTTCCACATAAAATTCACAAAGTCCCACAGACTTCATCTCCACGATGCTTTATGATGCCTGCTTCTACATCTTTCTATTCCCATGGTGGCTATTTTTTTGTCTTCTTATCTCTTTCTAAAGGCTATCACAGTGGCTTCCTGACTCATTTCCCCTCTCCATTCTCTCCCAATTGATTTCACACTCAGTTTTGCAGAATAAGCTTCGCAGAAGAGAACCGAGCTTAATCACTGGCTAGTAAACTTTTCCTTAGTGTCCTACCAAGTGACATATAAACCCCTCCTCAAACAGTGAAGACCCTCTGCAGTCCAGCCTCAAAGTAGTGCTGCATTTTTTTTACTTTGATCTCATTGGTTGGTTGATCCAGTCATTAATTTATTAATTTATTCAGTGAATATTGGAGTGCCTACTACATGACCAGCACAGCGCTAGGTGATCATTTTAAAAGCACCATATGTATTGGCTCCATGATACATTTCAAATATTATTTTTCAATGTTGGAATCTACTATTAAAATATAATCTTAAATGGTTGGAATGGGGTCCTAACAATCCCACTAGCTCCCCCTCCCTACCCTTGGTAGACTTGAGGTGTCATCATAGAGTCCCAAGTCTCCTTGATACAATTTGAGGCTTCTCTAGGCTGAAGGCAGTGTTTCCTTAACACAGCAGGTCTCTGGGCTCTGTGTCGTTGCTTATGTTGTTCCCTCTGCTAGGAAGGGCCCTCTCACTTCCCTACAATCATTTCCACTTGTCAGAGAGTCAGTGCAATTGCTACATGCCTCCTGATCTCCCTCTGCACTCCAGCTTTTGCTCCAGCAAACTGTTATATTTTGCTTGACCTCTTCCCTGTGGACTACGAGTCAGAGTCTTCCTGATATATATGTGCTTTCTGCATTCTCACCTAAGAGCACTGCACCAGCGTTGCCTAACATGGGACCTTCATTTCCTGAAATACACAGCTCAGAGCCTGTCGTATCATAGGACATCAACAAATAATTTAACTAGTTGGATTGAGTTTTACCCAGTTCTGTAGTCCCAATTTGTGTAATAACTGTTTTTTATTAACACCTCGACATGGTTTTTATAGTAGAACCAGTGCTTCTTAAATTTTAATGTGCATATAAATCATTAAGAAAATCCTATTAAAATGCAGATTCTGGTTGAACAAGTCTAGGATGAAGCCCAGGATTATGCCTTTCTCACAAGCTCCCAGGTGATTTTGAAAGAGGTGATCCTTGAACTGCGCTTTGAAAAGCAAGGCAGTAGATGATGCTTAACAGGTTTTCTAGCAGCCCCTGCCTCTCTGCCTGGAGATTTTCTACAGTTTGTTTTTGCTTCAATATTATTTTCTATTTTGAAAGTACTGTGGGCTTGGATATGCTTTCCGAAGCTGAATGGAAGGTTTGTTTATTCCCTTGTATTTGTACCTCATTTTACTGATACATGATTGCAGTTGCTAGTTCTCCTTACTACATTTTTCTCTGGCCAGTTGCGTTGCTTTGTTAAATATTCCTTCTCATTTCCCTATTATTTGCAGATTGCAGATTGTGGCTGTTCTCCTTTCCCACTCTGCTTTGACTTTTTTTTTTCTCTCTTTTTTGTCTCTGCTCTCTCTATGTCTTAAAATTCTCTTCAGGTGCCTTGGCTGACTCTATGCCCCACCTGTTTTCCTACTGCTTCCAAAATTTTTCAGCAAAAGGAGCACTGAAATAGGGCGCAGGAGACTCAAGCTCTCCTTATTGCTAGGGTGAGATGTTGAGCACGGCTGTTTCTTTTCTGGGCTCCTGTATCACTTGTAGATGAAGGGCGTGGGTTACCTCCTGGGTCTACTTAAGCACTAAAATGCCATGTGGGATCTGCACGTGGGGCAGAAGGAGGAGCAGGTTGAGGGGAGGAAACAAAAATCTTCTGATGATGCTGGTGCTGATGTATGCCCCCGTCTGGTGTTCCTGTTTCAGGTTCCTGTTCTAGATAAACAACTTGAACTTTAGTTGTTATTCTAGCACTAATTGAAGAAATATTCCTATTTCTTAAGAAAATGAATATTCCTTGGTATCCTCTAATCCAGTTGTTCTCTCTCCTGGATTCACACTGTAATCACTTCAGGAGCTTTAGAAAAACAATGATGCTCTTAGCCATCTCTAGCGGATGGTTTAACATGTCAGTATTTTAAAAATCTTCCCCTTTCCAGCCTGGATGGAGAGCTACCTGGTCTGTAAAGGCAGTGTAGTGTGGTATTTAGGAACACAGCATTTTTCCAGATCAAACCATGGCTTAGCCACTCACCACCAGATTTGAGAGCTTGGGGGCAGGGGTTACTTAACTTCTTTGGCCCTCAATTTCTTCATCTGTGAAATGGCCTGACTTGGTTATAGGATAATGTCTCGGGAGCCAGCAGTAGAGTACTGTGCACACTGTGGTTGTTCAAGAAATGGTAGTAGCTGTT